TATAGAATACATCAAACTTGAGACTCTTCGTCCATGGTATCCATGCTCTCTTAGCCTTGAAAAGCTGCTCTACCGCAACACATTCATGCAAAAACAGGGTTTGTCTCGTTGAGATAATGATCTATGCATAAGCACGGCATCCATATGAAATATCAAGAAAAGTAGTTCTACATATCAATCAAGACAATGACTATTTAATTTAACGTATAAGTCTACTTTTTCTTACATCATACAATGATATACTACAATAATCTGCAATCATTTGAATATATAAATGACTCTTAGCACTCAATATCCTATGTTGACGTTATCAGCTTCATAAGAGGGGACCCAGAAAAACCCGCCTAGAAACTGCCTTTCCTTTTTCATATTCTAAAGGCCCAAACTTGCCATAAAATTAAAATCCAGCTGATTAACCACCTTTGATACGGTCTAAAACTTGAACTGGTATCAGTGACACCAACAAGAAACCTACAGTCGCCAACCGAAGGATCTAGAAAAGTGACCATACCAAGTCCATCAAATTTACAACTTTCTTCATTCTGCATTAGCAACTGATAGTAACTGTTGAATGCGTACGAAACATTTCCCTTTGCTCCAATGCTATTACATGATCCCCCATAGTTGAGTGTAGTGCAATCTGCGACATTACATGCGACTTTCATGTGATTTGCCACATTAGAGAGATCCCCAGATGAGTCTGCAACACACCATCTAGATGGGAGATACTGAACATTCCTGGCATTCTTTAACTTCTTGTTGCCCAAACCAAGGTTTAGCGCATATTTAGCCTGGCCATCAAAGGAGAAAATCCCCCAGTGCCGTTCAAAGTTTCCTGGAAGAGTGCTCTTTGCCCCCTCATCAAGTAGACTGAAAAGATAGATATCCATGGGTGGAACAGCAGGCCTAAGAGGGGTTCCGTTGTTACTTAGCACATGATTGATCAGGCCTTGGTTGAAAACCCTAGCAGCAGTAAGATTTGCACCAACCGCTCCATCCGTAGGCCAACCCACCTCCCCAATGACTATGGGCATCTGCCCATATCCAATTTTACTGAGGGCCGCAACTAATGTGTCAAAATTTCCATCAAATGCATTATAGTAAGTGTTGGAACCGTCTATAACAGGATGTGTAGTGCCCTCAAAGAATGCATAATCTTGTGGAAAATCTGAGTTCCCATAGAGGCTTAGAAATGGATAAATATTAACTACAAACGGAGAACCATTTGAGTTTAGGAAAGAAAGAAGTTGAGTCATAATTTGACTCAGCTCCGGTCGAAATGCCCCTTGAGAAGGAACATTGGATTCATAGGCATCAGCATTACAAGGGACTACTAACTTTATGTATCCTGCAAGATTTGCTCTGGCCAAAGACTGCTGCAAATTGACCAAAGCAGGGACTACATAGGACTGAAATTGACCTGCGTAACTTGTAAGGAAGGGTTCATTTCCTACAGCGATATACCTGTCATCCAGCCAGAAGCAAATAACTTTAGAAGATGTGCAACAGTTTAGCCACACTAGCATATAAAAATTTTACAGAAATGTGGTAAACTCAGATTTCCTACAACTCACTGCTTTGATAAACATTAGGCTAATTTCAAAGCAATAGATGCATGCATAGGATATCCAGCTCAGGGGTCTCAATAGAAGGGGAAAGTGCTTGATAAATTTTATTTAGACAGTCAGGGCCATGTAAATTCTTGAATTGAAAGATTCAGAACTTGGCATTACATAGATGCCAATGAAGGAAGAGTAAGCAATCCAACTTGAGGTAATTTTGTCTCATTAATCTCTCCTGAGGTTGAGATACTAAGTATTTTCCATAGAAAAAGTATTCTTCCTCATTTTTCTTTTTATGATCCTTGGTGAAAAAGAAATTATTAAAAGTTACTACATACGGGAGAATAAGGGTGCATTCAATTGCCAAAAAGATCCTTACACAACATCATCATCCAAAGACCAACCAAACCCAACCAACAAGAAAAGAAGGAAAAAAAAGAAATTAAGAAAGAAACAAAACTTCCCTTCTTGCTTGCTTCTAGTTATCTTTATCAGACAAATGCCTACAGATAAGAAATTTTTACCTTCTATTGTCTTCACTATCTAAGTAGAAGAATATTTTAGCTTATGTGCACCAGGTTTTCCTCCCCATCATTTGTTTTGAGTGTAAATCTACAATCACTTAGACCATGACCACAGTGACAAAGAAGACACTTTAATCCAAATATCAAAATAGTATTAATGAAATAACTTATAAAGGATGGATAAAATTTTATATACCATCACATTAAATAATGTTGTTGCGTTGGTTATAGTATGAGGAGTTGTGCAAGCAGCTTGCTATGGGGAATGGCATATGAACTCTGGCATAGCAATCCACAGCTTTCACGGATAAAGTAATTTAACTGTTGAGGCTGTAAGGCAGTATGCCGCTGCATATGCCTATAAGAAATCCATACTGAGGACACCGCTAACATTAGATTGGTTAAACATAGTTTGAAGATGCAATTACTAAAGGATGCTAATCTATTTAAATTCTCCTAAGATCAACAAATTAAGATTCCTTTGTTAGTCCTATATAACAATTGAGAAGATTAACAATATATTCAAAAAAATTTTAGCCTATGCAAGAAACTTTTTGAATCATTTATCAGCTGAATTTACGCAAGGGGTTTCCACCACTAAAACCAAGCATACAGCAAAATATCTTCCCGAGTTATCAGCTATTATAGATGATGACATACTAATTAAGTATCTGCTTATTCCCATATATAACCCCTTCCCCCCGCCCCCCCAATTATTTTCCTGTGGGTGTCCATATAAAAATTCTTAACTACTTTAAACTTATTATTTCATTTTCTCATATAATTTCTAATCTATTATAATCTAGCCTAAAGTTTTCTCAATCTTTCTACAAATCTATACTGCGCCTAATCTGTTTGGTAGCCAGAAAAGCTTGGAAAACAAAGATGCCAAAACATATACGGATTCACCTAAGGGATCATTACCCTTATGCTTTTATATAGTTGATCTGAAGGTGACAAAAGCAAAATCAAACACCAACACAGCAAAAATTACTTTCTTTGAGTTCTTTCTGCAACCTTTCACTCAACAAGTAAAAAGGGGAAATCAGTAGCAAATCTTAGAGAAAGACAAGAATTACCTGATATCAGCACCACCTTTGCCTATATAAGTAGAGACATTCTGACGAACCCAGAAATCAGCAGCCGCAGGGGAAGAGCTGAGCGTAGCCAACATCTCATTTGGTATCCCAACCATGACTTGAATCCCACTCCCCATCAAAGCTCTCAGCACTAATGGGTCAGCTTCAAAAAGCTTCACTTTTTGTATGTTGTTGTCCTTCAGCAGATCCACCACGGTTGATGGCTTCAGCTTGTGGAATGACAGTGTCCCCCAGTTTACCCCTATTGCTGACTCTGCCACTAAAACAAACCCTGAAAATATCATCAGCATCATCACCATTGCACGAACAAATAGTGATGATCCAATGATTCTTGCTCTTGGGGCTGTCATTTTTCTCCCTTGTGGACTTCTTTGGCAATAATCTTTCATTTTCTGATTTGGGTTTGCTTTGATCCCAAAGGAGAGTCGTAAGGGACTGAGAGGCATGGGCATAGGACGTTCAGAGAGATGCAAGTGAGAACTACTCACTAACAACAACAGCGTGCAACCGCAAAGGGAGTAAAGTTTAAGAATGTGCCAGACCCCAATTTATTATTGCGATTAATTGATTTTTTTTAATGCTAGTAAATTAATGACTCAAATACCCTCAACTGGTCGTTCATGGTCGTTTCAAACCGCTGCTAATTATCACTGTGGTCTTTTGGGCATGCAGGACAAAACAATCAGAAGATAAAAAGCAACACTTTTTCGGTGATAACACTATCTTGAACTCAGCAGTTTGAAGTTTGAACACGAGATATGGGTGTTTGATTTTTTTTAGCATCAAAGCTTAGATGAAAGTTTATTCGATTTGCATAATGCAGGGCCGTTCAGTTGTCCAGATGAAAATGAAAGCTGAAATAAAATGTCAAAGAAAGGGCTAAGAGTTTGGGGTCGTTGATGTGAAATTCTACCTAAGACGTGAGGGACAAATGGATTGTCAGGTTAAAAGCAAAATGCATTTTTTCACAATGGTTGCTGGTGCTGCCCCCTGGTAGTGCTTGTGCTGCCCCCTGGTAGTGCTTTCTCTAAATCTTGACAAAATCTAGACACCTGTCTCTATTCCCTCATTCCCTGGAGAGTTCTCACATTCCAACACCCCAATTTTTGGAATCTTTCATGTGATAGTGTCCTTGTAGGATTGAGAAGTTCAATTGGAACATGATTTCTCTCTGTTTTTTTTTCCCTTTTCATTTCTTAATTTTTGCTCTCGAAATGTGATGCCCACTGTTATTTAATAAACAATTGTTCCATCTTTCGGGCTGATGTACTTTAAATATTCAAAAAAAAAAAACAAAAAACACAAAGTTGTTGCCCAAAAATACCTTCTAATTGTTCCTTAAAAATAAGAATGTGAAATTATTAGTTATATACTACATAACAGTCTTAAATCCCCGTCTGTCCTGGTGCTAGCAAATCATCTGAGAACGTATCAATTACAATTATCATTTTATACAGTCATCTAACATAATCATGAATTATGTAGTGTTCATCAAAATATTATATAAAATTTATATTTATAAATATGAATCTCACGTGACTTCTTATTGTGATGGATAATTGTAGAATTGTACTAAACATAATTGTATGTGACATGCTTCCAAGTTTTACACACACATATTATATGTGTGTGTCTCAATTTCTTACATGATAAATAAATACAAAGGAAATAAATTAATTTTTTATTTAATTAGCTTAAAGTATTATGTGTCTTTTTTTGTATAAAATTACATGTTTGAATGTTTAGATTTAAATGAAAGGAGATTTAAATTCTACTTTTTAAATAGAGATATCATTCATCAATCAATAAATTAAATTTTTAATTGATTATTTTTTATTTTTTTATTTATATTATAATTATATTTATCATTGTATGATTTAGGATGACATATTTTGACCACCCGAACACACCCACGGTAGAAAAAAAAAGAAAAGAAAGAAACAAAATTGTAACCCTGCTTTATTTGCAAAAAGTTATTACCCAACTCATGCTTTTTATTGATGGTATATTTGACAGAAATTTATTCTCCTTTGTAAAAATAGACATGTCGGCATCTATCTTGTATGAATTGTTCCGAGTGTTGATTCGTTCTTTTTATATTCAAAAGACAAGATGAGATTTTATTTAATTATTATGCAAACATTTATAAATCATAAGATTATCAACTATATAACAACCAATATATAATTTAATGGTTTTTATTCCTCTTTAGATCTAAGATTTGATTCTGAGGATTACAATCTTAAGATTATCAACTATGAATTGGAATAAGTCCTCAAAATCTCAAGAAAAAATATTCTCGCACTGAATTTAACATTAAATTTATATTTAACATTGTAATTAAAGTTATATTTAATCAACATTCAAATATTTAATTTATTTATGTTTGATTATAATGGTTAATGTAATGCCTGATTGGACATAAAAGGAAAGAGCATTTAGCACCTCTTTTCATTTCATTTTATACGTGTGTGTATGCATAGCCGTCCATCTTTTTTGAGCCTTTGGAAAGTTGCAAAAGTGGTGGCATCGCCCTCTAGATGCCACGTTAACGAGATTAGGATTCCCTATTTCTCACCAATTCAGAGCTCGCAAAGCAAATGCTCTGTCTTGCTTTTCTCTATAAAGAGCAAAAGTCAAAGAGCAAACTGATACACGGGCCATTTCGCCCTGCTGTATAACGTCGTTGGTGATTCCGTTTTTCTCTTTCACACCTTTAACTTTCTTGCTAACTTCCATTGAAAATGAGATCTCGATGGGCACGCATGTCCCTCAAATGTAAAATAATCAGAAAGCTTGTTTTTTAAGCCATGTTGGAATTTTGGAGCCAAATCATCAGGTGCTAATCATGAACATGCTTATCACTAATTATCCCATTGCTTTGGCAATCCTGCAAGGTGGCTTTGCGGTTTTGCAAAGGTTATATATATAAAGCAACTGATTTGCATGGCCCCGAATCCATTATTCTTATAATCATTTATGACACTTTTGTGGAAAATTAAGCATTTCACAGTATGTGTATTAATTTGTCTCTGCTTAAATACAAGAAAATACGAGCTTATAAAGTTGTTTATGCTTGTAAGGAGCATAAGATAAAAGAAAATCATGTGGCCCAATAGCAACAGCCTAATACTAACAACTCGTACATCCAAATACAAAAGAAAATTGAACCCATTAACATCATTATTGATTATCTTGTCCAACCAAATCCAAGTACGTAACCCAAGGTCGTGTGTAAGAGTCACATGTCACAAGGTTCCAAGTAAACTAGCTGCGCGGATCAATATTTATCCATTAGATTTAAAGAATTATGTACCATATATTCCATTCATTGGTTTCAATCTCACTCCTATCACAGTTTTAAATCTCATCATTATTACCAATCTGGTCGGTATAAAAAGTAATGTAGCATTTCATTAATTTCACACCCTTGAAAATTAATTGCAATATTTAGTTAAAAGAACCAAATTCAACACTTTCATTTGGACCAAACAAAATTGGATCCATCCCTTTTTTGGGCCTCGAAAGGTTATAGGCTCAAATGTAACTCAGGTTTTGAAGTCTACACCATGATCCACAAATTCGACCCATTGATAATCCACAAAAAGAAGTGCTGGCCTGATAATTATTTTTGGTAATTATATTAGCTATTGTAATTGCATTTGTAGCAAACCTAATCTCAAGTTGCGACCTAACCCTTGTCACGCCTACTCTGCCACCCGTTTAATTTCGTACAAATTGGGTATTGATTTATTTCTTCCTTTTTTGCTACAAGATTATGTTGCAATTTCCTTATCTTTATATATATATATATATACACACACACATACATACACCAAAAACACATGGATATATAAAAATTATTTTTAATTAATTTTTGATATAATATGTAGAAAATCTTTGAACCATTTACGGATTTTTTTTTTGAAAATTAGCAATTCATTTCATAAGAAAATGAGCTTTATGAAATTTAAAATTAAGTCTTTTTTTATTAAATTCAATTAAAACTTTATGTGTTAACTTTAAATCAAATAAATTATAACTACTGGTTGAATAATTATTATTAATCAAAATATCATTTATCATTTTATAAAATATAATATTAACTCAACATATTAAACTGTCATAATAAATAACATGATTACATAATCATGTTGTATTTTTACTTTTCACACCATTATCATATCATTATTATATAATATAAAATGATAAATGATATTTTAATTAGTAACAATTAATCAATTATTAGTTATAAATATTTATTTGATTCAAAATAAAAATATAAAAAATTTAATTAAAAGTAATAAAAAATATATTTTTATTTAATTTCTTTAAATAAATTTCTTAAATTTTTTTTCACTTTTCTAGTCACTTACTGCTTTCTTTTATTATTGTTGGAAAAATAACTTGGCTAGAATTGCAAAAGTGTAATAAAAGGATATTTTAAGCAATTAATGATAAAGTAATCTACAAACCGCAAATTATCAGTTCACACGTTATTCCTTTTCCTCATGTTCCAGATTGTTTTGCTGCAGCTTTACCTAGCAATTCTAATAATCTATGCTGGAATAACTCTACTTTTTGTTCTCTCTCACACACTCTCTCTCTATATATGTATATTCCAATTAACTACCAGGCAACCCCCCTTAGTGGATGAGAGCTGCAAACAGCAGTTCGTTCCATGTATCAGGAACTCCAGGGAGACACCAATGTGTACAATCTGTGCCGCGGCGGCCTCCGTAGCCAAAGGCTGAAGGGTGTCCGTCCTTCCTTAGTTGCGACAAGCTTGTTATATCAAGCAAATGAACTTGCTTTGACACACTTCGCAACACTTTCTTTAAAACAACTTGGGCTGGATGTGGACCTCCTGGATAGCCCCGCTTAGATATTATTGGGTGGGCTTCCCCTCGGCAAGTTTTTGCTGTTGGATCACCCCAATCCCTCGAACTAACACAACAAGAATGAGTACACCAAGTCAATCCGATATGTAAGCATGGGATTTCAAAGGCCCAACTACTCCACATGCCCGTGATTAGAATATCTTATTTCCAATTAAATTTGATAAGAGGTGATTGGAACAGCTTACTCCATATGATCAGGGGAGACGCCTTGGAAGAACACCTTGGTTTTAGCAGGATTTACAGTGAGTTTCACCCATCTGGCCCATGTCCTCAAAGCTTTCTCATAGGCTACCATGCGATTCATGTCTTTGCGAGTTATCTTATCGTCCTGGACATAATCCCATCTGCAACATCAAATGCACCCATAGTTCCAATGCTCGCTGTTGTTACAAGCAAGAAGTGTTTTTATAGGAGTAAAAACCAAGGGTTAGCTGAAAACTCACGGTTGTTTTCTGCCGGTGTGAAGCCACCAATGCCACGTGTCAAAGATCAACAAATCAACTCCTTTCCAAAGTTGTCCACTCCCGATTGAGTTGAGTTTTAGAACTCGCCCATTTTTTCCATTGACAATATCAACAAGAAATGCATTGCGTGAGTACATAATTGACACTCCATATGCCTACAAAGAGTATCATACCGCCAAACTCAAGAATCACATATATAATATCAATTTTCAAACATAAAAGAAATCAAGCACTAGCTCTTCTTAGTCAAGAAAAAGATGGGATAATATTACTGTGAAGTTGAATGTGGAGAGGCCTCCTATTCTTTGCAAGGTGTAATTGGCTCGTGGTACGGCTCTATGAAGCAAACATGTGAGCGACTGCCATTGATTTAAGCTCAGTGAGTCACCTACAAACATGATGCGCTTCCCTTTAAATCTTCGTAAGAAGTCTCTGCCACAGAACCTGTTTAATTCAAAATTATTCTAGGTTTTAGCATGATTTGGCAGCATAATAGTACTAGTGTCTTGGCCTCTTTCGGTTCAACTCTCCTCAATTGCGTTTCTTAGTTTCTCTTACTTTTTAATGCATGAGATTTGCAATTCCTAAGTAGGTCTTACTTACATGATGCGTGATAGATACAATGAAAAATAAACAAAAAAAAAAAAGGTTAAGCATAGAAGCCAAAGCCCTAACTTTTGGTTTCAATTTAGCAAATTATCTTTGTAAATAAAATTGAATAAAAGGTGGTTTCAAAAATGGTTATACTAATTTCAAGTTAAATTACTATATGTTTGTGACACTGAAACTTTAAGATAATTATAATATATATATATATTTATGTATGTATATACCGAAGTTGCTAGCCAAGTTTGAAGTTGAAACTGAAATGATTAAAGCATCTAATAAGACCATTATAGATATATGGAGGAGAAGATATTAAGAACCACTTAATATGGTGGGGGTAATGATGCATTAACTAAAGCACCACTATAAGGCCGTTGAGCAATAAGAACAGGCATATTACCACCACTTATCTTGGGCTAAAGCTTAGCGTTTTCCTTTTTGGTAAACAAATATTATTATTTAAATTGGAATAAGAATATTAGAAATACTAAACTAGACCAATATATATGTAAATAATAATAATAAAAAAAGACTGCAACATTTGAGAAAACACATAAGATATATCAACTTAAATTAACAATTAAGAGATAGATTTAAGTCTAAGAATTAATAGGTTTTAATATGTCACAAATACTGATAATTAAAAAAAAAAAAACAGTGCAAAAGAAGTTATACCTTGGCAAGTTGCATGAAGTGGGTTGCCATCTATACTTGAGATAGAGGTGGTCAGGTCGACCATTCTTTTGGCAATTGAACTCTTGTTGTATGAAAGGGCAATGGGTTGATCTGTAAAGAGGATAAGAAGCATCATGCACCCATCTTCCTCTGTAAATATCACATTTGCTTCCATGCACTTGCGGCCAAAATTCAATAACAAACAAAACGACTGCTGCAAAAGCAGAAGGACCCATCGTTTAATTTCTCCTCACTTCTGACCAGAGAAAAGGGAGAGCGAGAGGAATCTGTTGTTCAGAGCTCACAAATTCTGTGATTCTGGTTGTATAATAAGAAAGCAGGAAGATAAGAGACCGGGAATTGGGTGTTGTTAAAGCAATGGCAATGCAACAGAGATATTGCAAGCCTCAAACAAATCACCATGGAGAGAGAGAAGTGGAAAGGAAAGCCTATGGGAATTGTGCCATTGGATTATTGTGCGTCTTTTTATAAACGACGGATTGAAGTTGACCTTAATATGTAAAAAAAAACAATCACTCTCTCTCTCTCTCTCTCTCTGGTTTCTCCCCCGTGCTTCAAGTTTGGGGTGAGTTGAAAACAAAACCTAAACACAAGTAGAAATAAAGAAAAGAATTCATGCAGATGCTTCTTTATTCTTACCTTAAAATCAAATATAAATGTAGAGTTTAACGTCAATCAATTCCTACCTTCAAGGAAATTAAATGCAAATTTAGTTTTTTCTCCTTGTTTGAAAGCGGTCGTTTATGAATGAAAGCTCTTTATATGTATGAATTTTTGTCTTCCAAAATGTAAACTGCTCACACTCGCTTGCTTTAATTTAGTTAATAGTTATATTGGCTTTAATACCATTTAATTTTGGGAAGAACTGATTTGTCACAACCTTGATCAAATTACTTCCATACTTCGTTGTTTATTTAATTTAAACCCCTTATTTTTGCAATTTTGCATTTAAATTTTAATGCACGGTGGCACGGTGCGGTTTGATTTTGGGAACCAAAAGATTGGAAGTGTACTTAACAAAATAATGAGTTAAGTAAAATCTTTTTAAATATTATAGATAAATTTATATATTATGTAATTATTCTATATAATTGTATAAACAACTATAATATATTATTTAAAAATTAAAATATTCATAATTATTGAAAAAATCACACAAAAACCTATGCTTACAAGGTTTCTTTTACTTTTTGTTTTCTCTAATATATTTTAAATCTATGTTATTTATTGAAAATGACAAAAAATAATAATTAGAATGCAAAAGTTAAGTTGGGTATGACTTTGAAATCATTTTTGTTAAAAGAAGGAAAAATTTTGTATAATATAAAACTATATAAGTTATATAGAAATTGAACTCTAAAGTAGATATGATAGTCTAACTAAGTAATAGTATTATATAATAACTCTAACTAGTATTTGAGTATTTGACTCATTAATTGGTGCATAATCTCTTATTTAAAAAGTAAAATTTAAATCCCTTTCTTCAATTAAACATATATAATAATTCTAACTAAATAATTTGTATATTTATCTTAACAATCTTGAGTCCTTATCAAATTAACTAGAGTCAATAGAAATCTGAAGGATTATCAAATTTTTCATAATCGAATAAGTCAATACAATTTCTTGGAGTCGAATGCACAAATGATCCAATTAAAGAAAAAATGACCGAGTTAAGACAGCCACTGAGGCAAAGACAATTGTTACCTTCAATTTCAAAAGATTTGCTCCTTCAAAGAAAGAATGTTATGTTCCTTCCAAAAATAATGGGTTCAATTAACAATATTATGTTGTTTTCTTAGGATTGGAGTGCATAAAAAGCAGAGGCTAAAAATTATCATAAACTTTCTATAAAAAGAATCATTTTGGGGGATGAGGCTGTGTGGGATGTAGATATATAAGAAGGTTCGTGGGCAATTCATTGTGAGGCGAACTTGTAAATATATGATTAAAACGACAAATCGTAGCAAGAAAAACGTCCACACTTTTGCACTTGTTTTTATTCTATACATCCAAAAGGGTGCTTTGCCGACTACTTTCGTAATATTCCAATCTGGTCTCTACTAAACATTAAATGCCACGTGAAACGGAGAAGCTTATGGTCCAGAACATTATATATATAACTAGCAAATACGATTTTTAGTTATTTTAAAAAAGGAGAATTTTTGTAACATGAGATATTGTTAATGGATTATTATCACATACACTATCAATAAATTGAAGTTTTTATATTTTATAAAAACAATTAGAAGGTTATCCATGCCCCGTTAATTATATTTAAGAGAATTAATAACATAATATAATAATTTAATGGATATGTGGCACTAAAAAATTTTCTAATCCCACTTGTGTAGAGTTTAAAGACTCTAACACTATATACAATAATAATTCAGTTGCTAATATGCTTAAGTATTATTGACAAATTAATTATAAATAAACATCCAACTCACAATTTTAATGAGTGAGTAAATACCAATTGAGTAAACAAATTAAGCTTCTTCTTTTTCATTTCTTTTACAAATTTTAAAATAGAAAATTTTTGGGGTACATGTTAAAGCAATATGGGCTTCACAAATCAAGTGGTCCTCTCATACGAATGATTTAGGCTTGTCAATATCTGCATTGTTGTTACGCATACACCATTGGATGTCTTTTACTACAATCATCTTATCTATATATCAATCTTTCTTTCAAAAAGATGTAGTGCTACTGTCATTATACTAAAAAAAATACTTGACTATAATTGTATCAAGTTATAGATTTATTTAAATAAAAAAATAGGTACTTACAAAATGAATTTAACCTAAGTATATATATCTAGTGGCTATTTATAATTTTAGTTATTTTAAAAATATATGGAATTTAAGTCATTCAATGTCATTATTATAACATTTTTAACCTCTAGCTGCAGAAAAAATTATAACCATAAAACTTGTTGCCTTAGGTTAAGGTTAGTGATGACTCAGTATATAGCCTTAAAGATTTATATATATATATATATATATATAATGAAAATAAACAAAGAAAACTTGTTACATCACTCTAAGCCAAGAAACTTCTAGAGTGTCTGCAAAAAAAAAATGGTCTAACACTAGTTGGTAAAGAATATGAAATGTATAACTCTTAAGGTAGATTCTTATGATAAGTGGCCATTCAATTAACACATTGATTCGTTTCACGATGGACATGAGATAGTGCAGTCTCAAACCTATTAAAGTAAATCCCTAATACTTATAAGTAACTATGCATTCGAATCCAACTGTGAGCTTTGATTAGAGATCTTCTAAATAGTAAGCAAAGAATTCGTTTCAACCTGAACGTTCCTGAAACCTCTATCCTAGCTCAATTCTAATCCTCAATGTAGAGCCCATAATTCTACTTGAAGAGAAAGGAAATGCCAATTTTATATGTGAAGCCTAATGGCCAACTTTCAATTCCATCACTAATTACCCCTCTTGATGCCACCATTAAGAAAATGACGCCCTTTCTTTTTAGAAATTAAGGAAGAAAGAGAAAATGAGGAAAAGAAAATTTTATAGGTAGATATTATAACTTGAAAAAAAATAATTTTATATATAAACAATAACTGTTGGATATCATTATTAAATACATATTGTAGTTAGTTGATTGAGAATAGAAGAAATAGTTGGATATCATTAAATACACATTATAGTTAATTGATTAAAATTAAGAGAAATAGTTAAAGAATTAATAGCATTGTGGGAATTAAGAAGTGATAAAAAATTGAGATTTAATAAACACATAATTAAGAAAATAAGAGAATATGTCATTTTATTAATTATCTTGACTTTTATTTATTTTTAATGAAAAATTATATAAATAGTTAAAAATTAATAAAGGTTTGGGAAGTGAGAGAAAATAAACATTTATTAGGTAGGAGAGGATATGTAGATATTATATTAATTATATTAATTTTATATATTTTTAATATAATAATTATATTATTATAAATTTATGAAGCCTATGAAAATTTGGAGCCCAAAGTAAGGGCTTTTCTGACTTTACACTAGAGTCGGCTCTAGTTAAGGTTACAGTTATAGTCAATGTACGGAACAATTTAGCTACACTCTTTTATAAGATTTTATAACTAAATTACTATGCAACTATATATTACATGATTGCGATCTTGAAATATATGATTACTTTTAAAATATACAACTAAAAAAGTGTATGATAACAATACATACAACATTTTAATATGTAAGAAAAATGTTCAAATTTTGTAAAATTTACAACAAATGTTAAAGTAATTAAAATTATGTAACTAAAATTAAATTTTATACATTGCTCCCAGTTTTTTTTTTTTTCTGAAAAAGCAAATGAGACTCATTTAAGTTGTAGTAAGGCTAACAACAATTATGTAGACACTGGAACAAACATAAAGACTTGCCGGTGGAGCTTTCAAATTCCCAAGTGGGAGACTTTGACTGCCCACCCCATAATGATATGGCTAATTGGAAATATCGTGTTTACAACTTACTTGTTCAACATCCAATCATTAGAATTTAGACATAATATTTAAATAAGTCTCTAAACTATTTAAAAATATTTAAATAAACTCTTATTCTTTTATTGACACTCGAGCATTTGTCTCATTAGTTGGTGCATAATCTCCTATTTAAAGAGTATGGCTCAAATCCTTCATTCTCAATTAAAAAAAAGAAACTCATATTCTTTTATTGCATTTAATCAAGTTCATGTACTTTTATTTCGAGTTAAACAAGCTCTAAGTACTAATGATTGATAAACTATCATTAGTAAAAATACTACTTGTCATTTTATATCCACATGAAATTGATATAATATTGATATAAAGGGTGAAAACTATTATATGATCATATTATCATGCCAAATTAGCATATCATATTATCATTAATGGTAATACATCAGTATATCACATCATAATTAATTATAATATTTTCACATATCATACCAGTATCATGGTATATAGAATAACAAATGACATTTTCACTAAAAGTAAAAAGACTTATTTGAATTTTCTTAAATAATTTAAGTTCTGTATATTATGTCTAGAATCTATTTATTAATTAAATTCAACTTGCAAACTTGATCAGAGAGTTTCTTTATATAGAGCTAACATTATCAAGGAATTAAAAAAATAAGTTGATATTATCATAAATGATAAATTATATATAAATAATAAATAATAATAATTATTCTAAATAAATAATGAATAAATACTAATCACCAAGATAATAGTTATCTAACTAATATCTAGAGGTAAGTACATAGCAATTCTCAACCCCTAGAACAACCTTGTTCCATTGGATTTACTTGAAAT